CTAAACCCTAATTATGCTATTTCTTCTCAATACAAAATCCTAAGACTAAATATCACCTCTTTACAACATACACAAAAGTGGAAAAATACAAAAATTATCCAAGTTCCTGAAATCATTCATGAGAAAAAGAAAATCCAAGATACTGTCTCATATCTAATGCTTTCCCTTTGTTATTATTATTACTAGGAAGACTCTTCAGATGTTGACAGCGCAATGAGCAAGATTTCTAAAGTTGCAGACTAGATATTCTTACTGTCGTGATTAGGAATAACACTTCACGTAGGTCTGAAAAGAGAGAAAAACATAAACATTTCATTCAGTATCAGTCGTTTTATATTACTTCATTTTGAATTATAATTAAATTATACTTTCTATTACACACTGCAGTAGTTGTTCTATATAGTAGTAGTAGTACAGCAATAGTAATAGTAACAGTAGTAGTAGTAATATTAATAATAACAGTAGTAGTAGTAGTAGTACCAGTTACTAGTAGTAGTAGTAGTAGTAGTAGTAGTAGTAGTAGTAGTAGTAGTAGTAGTAGTAGTGGTAGTAGTGGTAGTAGTGGTAGTAGTAATAGTAGTAGTAGTAGTAGTAGTAGTAGTAGTAGTAGTAGTAGTAGTAGTAGTAATAGTAATAGTAATAGTAATAGTAATAGTAATAGTAATAGTAGTAGTAGTACTAGTAGCAGTAGTAGAAGTAGTAGTCGTGGTACCAGTAATACTAGTGCTAGTAGTAGTACTAGTAGTAATAATAGTAGTAGTAATAGTTGTAGTATCAGTAGTACTAGTGCTATTAGTAGTAATAGCAATAGTAGTACTAGTGCTAGTAGTAGTACCAGTAGTACTAGTGCTAGTAGTAGTAATAGTAGTAGTACTACTACTACTACTATTACAAGTAGGCCTAGTACTAGCAGTACTAGTAGTAGTAGTACTAGTGCTAGTAGAATACTACAAGTAGTAGTTGTTTTTGCAGCAGCAGTAGTAGAACTAGCAGCAGAAAGACAAAGAGAGAAGTAGAAGGAGAAGCAGCAACAGCAAGAGTTTGTAGTAATTTATAGAAATCAGTTAGGAGTTAGTAGTTATTAGGAGTCATTAGTTTGTTAGTATCTAATGGAAGCAGCAATGGGAATAGTGGCATTAGTAATAACAATATTAGTACAGCAGCAGCAGCAGTAATAAAAGTAGTAGAAGTAGTAGTAGTAGTAGTTGTAGTAGTAGTAGTAGTAGTAGTAATAGTAGCAGTAGTAGTAGTAGTAATAGTAGTAGTAGTAATAGTAGTAGCAGTAATAGTAGTAGCAGTAATAGTAGTAGCAGTAGTAGTAGTAGTAATAGTAGTAGTAGTAATAGTAGTAGCAGTAATAGTAGTAGCAGTAATAGTAGTAGCAGTAGTAGTAGTAGTAGTAGTAGTAGTAGTAGTAGTAGTAGTAGTAGTAGTAGTAGTAGTAGTAGCAGTAGTAGTAGCAGCAGCAGTAGCAGCAGCAGTAGTAGTAGTAAAAAAGTAGGTCTATTGACTACATACCTGCTGACCTTATGCAAAGAGAAATTCTGAATACCAGACTCTCGAGAACCTCTTTGAGCGCTCAGCCATGAGAGTTTCGGTGATGGTAATACCCCGCTGAGCACCAACGCTTAAGAACCTGAAAAGTTAGCTTCGGTTTCTCACTGATTCTTGTACAAAAACAATCGTCATAACTGGGTGGGTGGGCAGGTAATTTTGTAGGTAAGTAGGTGTTATTGGTAGGCAAGTAGGTAGGTAAGGAGGTAGGATGGCAGGTGGGATGGTGGATAGGTGGGGGGGTAGGTAGGTAGATAGACAAACACAGACTTACTGATATATGGACATACAAACATACATAAATATATCAAATGTATCTTTTATACATATATATATATACACATTCATTCATATATACAAACATATACTTATAAACACACACACACACACACATAGTACATCAAAAAATCCAATAAGCCACACCTTTTACCAAAAAGTTCAATGAGGGAACCAATTCTCCCAAGGCCGTGGACGGTGAGTGTGCCCTCCTGATTGAATTGCGTCCTGAAAAAAAAAAAAATTAATGGGGTCTAATCTTCTTTTTCATCCTTTATCTGCTTTTATATCCCTTAGAATCTTAAAACAATAACATTTTAAATATCTGTATGAATTGATAAATATAGTTGTAAGATACTAGACTTACAACTGTGAACACACATCTATAACACAATTACATAAGTAAATTAGTAAAAAGTCATTATACTTTTCTAATTAGCTTTATGTATACATGTACATACACAATGACCTAGCCTAGTCCAGTCCTTACCAATTCGGATTCTGATGATGTGGCTTGTAAGTGGAGGCCTCCTTCATCGTGACCCAGTCTGACACAGAGAGGTTTTCAGATTCAACATCAAAAGTTCTCCTTTTTCTGTCCCACCAGCATTCCTCTTGGAGTTCCAGTTTCTCCACTTGTAAGCTTGCCACCTGTTGAAATAAGGAAGTGTTGGAAAGAGTACCTTATGGACCAAGCCTTAAGATAGCTATGGGTTTTTTTCTGCAAAAATACTCTTAGAAAAAGAAAATTGCATTTATTCTCGTGTGTTACGTTACTTACATAAAATATAATGTAACCAAGGAAAAAATACATGGACTTCTAAAGAGTCTAAAAATCAATATCTAGTATTCAGTTTGTACAAATATACTACAGCCTGTTATCTATGTTTCACCAGCCGCAGATATCTTAAGCATAAATGTTACCACCAAAATGAGCTCCCAACCAGCTGCTACTGCCAGCTAATTTTCAACTTATTCTGTTTAAACTGTCTATGCTAATAACAAGTGATAGCTATAAGAAATTAGCCTATTATAACTATCAACGGTTACTGGTGACTGCTGTGAAGACTCAAAGGAATCATAAAAAATCTAACAAAAGTAGAACTAACATACCTAATACAATAAAGTATTTAGTACATATTAATCTATTGTTTTATTTACCTTGATTCAAGCTTTTCTGAATAATCAACACCATGATTAACAAAAAGAGAGAAATTACAAATAAAGACAGACATAAACAAAGAAATATCATAGGAACACCAAACATTAGTGTAATATGTCAATCACCCCAACACTAAGTAATTCAGTCTCACTCTCACTCACTGTTCTCACAAGATACAACTGTTTCATTAGGATATGCTTTGCCAAAACATCTGTACAATATGTATATGTACTTGGAATTTTTTTAAAGATACAGAAATTATATAAAAATAATTGGACACAAATCACAGAATTATCACACAATGCTAATCTGATAAGTTTTAAAAACACACTGGCAGACTAGAATTTATGACTCTTATCATCTCAAAAATCTTTCATCATCATCCCTATTACCAATGCTATATCATCGCTATTTGCAGAAACAAACAAGCAAACAAGTCTGCACCAATTAAACCCTGCAAAATAGTGATGCTGATCTCCATTATTGTAGTCGTCGTCATCGTCATCATCATCATCATCATCATCATCATCATCATCATCATCATCATCATCATCATCATCATCATCATCATCATCATCATCATCATCATCATCACCACCATCATTATTCATGTCACACCAGCTACGGCTTCAGTGTCACCACACCTTTGTCTTGCTGGTCTACCTTTAATTTCTTTTTTATCCAGGTATCTACTTAGTGCTTTTCTTGGTCTGTTTCTCATTCTAATGTTTTCTAACATCTTACCTTATTTCATACTAACTTGACAATCTTTTCTTTGAATTCTTCTATTTCTGTTCTTTTCTCTTATTTACCCATTTTGCTCTCTATCTTTCCTTAAATATACATAGATAAATAGATAAACAAATAACTAATTATAGCAGAACTATTAAGTTCAAGTGCAATGGGCAAAGAGGGTACACAAAACGCCATCTAACAGAATGATCTGCAGTAAAGACTCTTGCAAAAGCTACTGGGGGTGTAGTTGAAAAAGAAGCACTGGCTGCTAGCAGTATTAACAAGGGCAAAGAGAAGGCATTGCAGAAATGTACCAAATTACAGGGTATTTGTAAAAACATTTCAAAACTCCCTCCTCCCCAATAATTCTGCAACTTAAAACTACAAAAATAAATCCACAAAACAGGAGAACAAGTCAGAGGGCTCCCGAAAACATCAAAAAAATCTACAGGCCAACTAACATCACCCCTTACCTCCTGCGACAGTGTCCACTCCCTTGGAATATGTCACCCTGCCACTGGATGCATGTGAAAATAAATGGAGTTACAGCAGTTTGTCAAAGTACATAAAATCTTGATTGTATGGCTAATCATCTTAATCACAGCACTACTATTTTCTTATCAATCTGTTGCTATTAACTCAAATTAGCAAACCTACCCCCTATATCGTTAACCAAGAAAGATTGCTCATTATTAACGCATATAAAAAAAGGAAGATCTTCTACTAAATTAATGGTTTTGCTCCTAAGCATCACATGATTTCTCTTCAGCCAGTTTTCCAAGTTTCATTTTATCACAGTTACTTTTTTTAAAAAGGTGCTTCATTCATATATCACAGATAAACCAATATTCTTCCCAGAACTTCACCTCAATACAGCAATTAGGTATTTCACTTCATTTCATATTTCCTCCAGTGACTCCAACAATATGCAATCTTGCTTTAGAGTGAGAAATGCACAAGTATGAAATCTGCCATCCTAATGGTGCACTATCAATGCTAAAAATCAAAAGTTTCAGAGAACAATATTTGTACATTTACAACAAGATGCATGAACAGGGCTTTGAACTCCCTAAAGCAGCTGGTATATGCTGAAGTTATCAGGTTAAAGACATGGCCCAGCATGTTATCGTCTGTCTGTCGTGAAGCCAAACACGAGAAACCAAACCTAAATAATTATCAACTATGACAGCAACTCCCAACATGGGGTACAGATCCTATAGGAGGGTGAGGTGACCACTTTCAGCGGTTCTTTGAAAAAAGTGCAGTATGTGAA